ACACGTCACATTCACGCCCCTGTAATCAGGTCCAAAATTGGTATTGGCACATAACATAAACAAACAAGTAATTTTCATTTGTTTTGTTTGACATTCAGGGAAGAAAGAACATTTTGTATCTGGTCTCCCAGTGAGGCAAATGGTTTCTCCTCATCAAACACTAATCATGTGATCCAGTACCAGTTGGAGCTTACAAGAGGATACAAGGTTCTTTCTTTTTTGGGGGGCGACTGTGGTTCGGTGGGTAGAGCCTTCAGTCCACGTGTCGAAGTGTCCTTGGGCAAGACACTGAACCCCCAAGTTGCCCCTGATGGTTAGAGCCATCGGTTGAGTTGGCGCCGCAGATGGCTGCCTCGGTTCTGTACTGGAAACAAATTCCTTGTGTGTAACATACTTGGCCAAGAAAGGTGATTATCCTTATCCTATTATCCTTTCTACTGACCTGATACCAATATACAGAAATCAACCCATCATTCTTATTAATCAGAGGCACACTTCAGATATAACCTCTCTAACATCAGGACAAAATGCAAGCAGTACGTTTCATTTTGCAGACAGCTCGCATGTCTCATATTCTCAACTTTTGATAGATTGATCAGTGAAAAGGTGTGTAAGCAGAAGGATGAAAAACAAGGGCAACGTTGTTTTCCATTAAGGTTATAACGAGTAACCAAATGCCATTCATAAATTCCCTCACTGTTGGCAAGCATTGCCATTTCCTGTTTTATTCTTCTTTCTACATTTGCCCAGCAGCACCTGACCTTTCAGTTCTCCTTAGTACATCCATGCAGCCAAAGCCTCATGCCACAAGATAGTGAAACAACGCCCCCTACTGTCCAACGTTGGCTCCTATAGCACAGCTGCTGCAGCATTTATTTCCCTGTCGGGGGTGTATTAATAGCATGTCTATGACTGGTTGACTTTTCATTTCTCACAGTCTATTCTGGAGCTGCTTCAGACATTTACTGTAAGCTGACAAACTAAAATAGTTCAAGAGGTTTAAAGATGTAGCGTACAATAGATCATTTTGACTTTCTGTAACAAGGGAAGGCGACAGTGGTGTGGTGGGTAGAGCAGTCGTCTCTCAACCAGAAGGTTGAAGGCTTGAATCTCGGTGCCTCCAGTCCACGTGTTGAAGTGTCCTTGGGCAAGACACTGAACCTCCCTGATGGTTAGAGCCATTGGTTGAGTTGACGCCACAGATGGCTGCCAGATGGCTGGTTTTGTACCAGAAACAAATTCCTTGTGTGTAACATACTTGGCCAATAAAGGTGATTATCCTTATCTGTCTAGAATGGCATAAAAAGATCTGACCAAAATCCATTCATTATTTATAGCACTTATTCCCAAATAGGATTGGTGGGGGTGCTGGATCCCAATCCCTGCTGACACTGGGCAGGGTACTACCTGGACAGGTCGCCAGTCTATCACAGGACTGACATATAGACAAACAATAGCACACACTCACTCCTACAGACAATTTAGAGTCACCAACCAACCTATGCTGAATGTCTTTGGACTATCGGACAAAGCCAGAGAGTACCCATGCTGGCACAGGAAGAACATGCAGAAAAGCCCCAGGTCGGCCAGGACTCAAACCCAGAACCTTCTTGTTGTGAGGTGACAAAACTGACCACCGCGCTGCTGTGCTGCCCATCTGGCCAAAATGTAGAATAAAATATGTACAACTGTAACAAAGAACAGTGCTGCCCCTCAGTTTAGAATATAAGTGTGCTGGGTCTTTATCTAGTAGCAAACGCAGCTTTGCTCATGTCCACTATCATCTCCTTCATCTTGTCCATGTTGAGGCTGAGATTTTTTGTCCTTGCACCATGACACCAGACCAGCCACCTCCCTCCTATAGGCTGCTTCGTCCCTGCCAGTGATGTGACCTATCACTGCAGTGTTGTCTGCGAACTTCAGGATGATGTTGTCTTTGTGGGAAGTGACAAAGTCGTGGGTGACTCACCCCAATTATTATGAAGTGCTTTGAGACAGTGGTGCTGGCCCGCATTCAGAGCAGTATACCGAACACCCTGGACCCCCTGCAGTATGCCCACCAGCCCAACAGGGCCACCTCAGACGCCATCACGGCTGCCCTCCACTATTCCCTTTCTCACCTGGAAAATAGAGACTCCTACATTAGGATACTCTTCATTGACTACAGCTCTGCCTTCAACACAGTTGTCCCCCACAAACTCACCCACAAACTGTCCACACTGGGTCTGCACCCCACCCTCTGTGACTGGCTCCTGGACTTTCTGACTG